GGAAGGGGCAATACCTGTATAGCGGATACATCCGCCCCACAGAAAGAGAGTCAATACCTGTATAGCGGATACATCCGCCCCACAGAAAGAGAGTCCTGGTCAGGCTATGTGCTTAACCCTTCGGTCTCTTCCGTAACCGGTGTGATTGAGCAGCTTGCTTGTCCACTACCAACATCCTTTCTGCCCGCCCTACAGACAGGGAGTCCGGGCAAGGAAGGGGCAATGCCTGTATAGCGGATACATCCGCCCCACAAACAGAGAGTCCAAGCTCTGTGCTTAACCCTTCGGTCCCTCCCGTTACTAGTTTCATTGTGCGGCGGATGTATCCACCGTATAGGTTTCGTCCCTTTTCTCCCGCGATGATGTACTGCATGTCGAGATACCTGTGTAGCGGATATATCCGCCTCACAGTCGGTGCGTGCCAAAGGTTCGACACACGGGCAAGGAAGAGAGTTCGAGCAAGGAAGGGGCAATACCTGTATAGAGGATACATCTGCCCCACAGACCAAGAGTCCAGGCTCTGTGCTTAACCCTTTGGTCCCTCCCGTTACTTGTTTCATTGTGCGGCAGAGGTATCCGCTATACAGGTTTTGTCCCTTATCTCCCGCGACGATGTACTGCATGTCGTGTAGCGGATACATCCGCCTCACAGTCGGTGGCACGCGCCGTACAGGTTTCGTCCCTTATCTCCCGCGATGATGTACTGCATGTCGGTATACCTGTGTAGCGGATACATCCGCCTCACAGTCGGTGCGTGCCAAAGGTTCGACACACGGGCAAGGAAGAGAGTCCGGGCAAGGAAGGAGCAATACCTGTATAGCAGATACATCCGCCCCACAGACCAAGAGTCCAGGCTCTGTGCCTAACCCTTTGGTCCCTCCCGTTACTAGTTTCATTGTGCGGCGGATGTATCCGCCATACAGGTTTCGTCCCTTTTCTCCCGCGACGATGTAATATCGGCTTCTACGCACTGCATGTCGGTGTGTAGCGGATACATCCGCCTCACAGTTGGTGCGTGCCAAAGGTTGGACACACGGGCAAGGAAGGTATAGAACCTGTGTGGTGGATACATCCGCCATACACACAGACAGTTCGAACGTTGTAGTCAACAAGTCGGTCTTCTCGGTGACCAGTGTCATTGTGGGGCTTGATTTTCAAGGGAGGAGCTACTTGCCGAAGTGTTGTTAGGGGCGGATGTATCCGTTACACAGGTTTTGTCCATTGGTTCCTCGTGGAGTGTACAGAATTCACTTTCGATGCGGCGGCCATGTGATGGTAAGTTTTCTTGGGAGGATACATCCTCTACACGACATCCTTTTGTGTGTTGTATCCAGGAGTTCCGCACAAACGCTTAATGGTGGTCGTTGTTGAATGAGGAAAGGTTCCCCACATACAGTTAATGGTGATCGATGGGTTGTGCACAAGTGTTTCTTGCTACCCGTGGATGGTTGTGTTGTATCCAGGAGTTCCGCACAAACGCTAAATGGTGGTCGTTGCTGAACGAGGAAAGGTTCCCCACAGACGGTTAATGGTGATCGATGGGTTGTGCACAAGTGTTTCTTGCTACCCGTGGATGGTTGTGTTGTATCCAGGAGTTCCGCACAAACGCTAAATGGTGGTCGTTGCTGAACGAGGAAAGGTTCCCCACAGACGGTTAATGGTGATCGATGGGTTGTGTACAGGTGTTTCTTGCTACCCGTGGATGGTTGTCGTCACCGAACGAGGACACGTACTCATGAAATATAGAGCACTTGTCATAGCGGTGTTTGTGGTCGTTAGGGAACAAGGACAGGTTATTTGCTGCTCGGGGATAGTGGTCGTTAGCGAACAAGGACAAGTTCTTTGCTTCTCGGGGATAGTGTTTGTTGGCGAACAAGGACAGGTTCTTTGCTGCCCGGGAAGAGTGGTCGTTAGCGAACAAGGATAGGCTCATTGCTGCTCGGGGATGGTGTTCGTTATCGAACAAGGGCAGGTTCTTCAGATTGTGGAGGCTCATTGCTGCTCGGGGATGGTGTTCGTTATCGAACAAGGGCAGGTTCTTCAGATTGTCGTACAGAGACTGGAGATGGGTGAAAGAGTCCTTGAGACCACTGTGCGGCCACGATTCATGAAGGGAGGGTGTTCTTTAGACGGTGGTGCGGGCTGGTTTGCGCAGGGCAAGATATTGGCTGACGTCAGAGGAGGGCCTTTTCACATCTCTGTGTGACGTCATCGACTGATAACGGTTCAACAAAGGGACGTTCTTCACCTTGAAGTGGCGATGGCCAAGCTCTACTCGACGACGCGCTATTAACAGGTTCGGCAATGCGAGGCGGAGCTCTCGTCGACTGCGCGCTAGCAACTGGCTTCCAACAACGACGTGGCAGAATGACGCGAGAGATTTGCATGTTGCCAAAGAACACCCTCTCGCCCACCGACGAACTGCATGTTGCGTCGAGCAGCCAAACGGCGGGCCTGCTTTCCCGCTACGAATCCCGACCGTCGGATGAATGGATTGTGTTTCATAGCCGTACAATTTACAGACTTTTTCTTGGGAAGCCTTTTCGCAACGAGAAACAGAGACGTCATCTTTTCTCGCGGGGTGGGCCTTCTTCCTGACGACGAATCTCGAGCGTCCGATAAAGGGACGTCGTTTGGCCTCCTTTCGCGACGAGGAGCCAGGACGCCATCTTGTGTCGCAGATCGGTCCGGTACTGGGTCGACGAACCGGTCCAAAATTTCGCTCGCTGGCCCTAAAATTTTCGTGACTTCCCGCCCGCGCGCAGCTCTATATGAGCTCCGGGAACTGGCGGCCCTAGCATTCTTGAATTTTCAAATGAGGGGAGACTCTGCTGCTCCGCCGCTGGACACCAAGAACATACGAGCATCCATCGCGCGCCCGTCGAAATCGAGCAGCCATTGCGCGCCCGTCGAAATCGAGCAGCCATGGCGCGGCCGTCGAGATCGAGCAGCCATCGCCCGACCGTCGAACTGGAGCAGCCATCGCGCGCCCGTCGAGCTCATTGCTGATCACCCGGGTTCTCGACTCTCTCCTTTCGTCTCCACCACCCTTCTCCATCTTCTCCATCATCCTCCTCGTTCACGGTACCATCTTCCGTCTCCATCTTCTCTATCTTCTCCATCTTCTCCATCTTCTTCATCTTCTCCATTTCTCAACTTTCGTTCTTGATCTTCAGTCTCGATCTTCTCCATCTTCCTTCTTCATCTTCACAATTTTTCCTCTTCATCTTCTCCAGCGTCCTTCTCCTTCTTCATCATCTTTCGTCTCCATCCTCTCCATCTTCTCCATCTTCTCCCTTTTCCACCTTCTCAACTTCCCTTCTTCATCTTTCCGTCTCCGTCTTCTCCATCTTCATTGTCATCTTCATCATCATTCTTCTTATCCCCCTTCTCAACTCTCCTCTTCATCATCATCGTCTTCCCTCTCCATATCGATCTTCGTTTTCTTCCTTCTTCATCTTCTTCATCGTCCTTTTCTAGATCCATCATCATTTTCTTCTCCATCTTCCATCTTCATTTTGTTTCTCCTTCATCTTCTCCATCGTCCCTTTCCATATCCATCAACATTTTCTTCTCCATCGCCACATCTTCCATCTCAATCTTCAATCCCCATCGGCTACCTTGTTCATATTCTTTATCTTCGTTTCGTTCTACATCTTCCTGCACCATCTTCTCAATCGTCGTTTCGTTCTCCATCGCCAAACCTCTGAAGCTCCACGATCTGAGATGTTTACAACACCATCTTCCATCTTCTCTGTCTCCTGAATCTTAGTTTTGTCGTTGTTCTGTAATCTCATTCTATTCTTTCTCGCTGCTCGTCCAACCTCCGTCTTTCTTCTCCAGCATCTCCATCTTCGCCATCGTCCTCTTGGATCATCTTTTCGACAGTTCTTGCCGTATCTTTCTGCTTCAGCTTCTCCAGCTTATCTAGCTTCGTGTACTCATCTCTTTCATTATCTTTGACCTCCTCATCGTCATCGAGCCCAGACACGAAAAGCTCGCCACGATTAGCCATTCCATTCCTGTTCCAGCCCATCCTCTGCATCTTCTCCATCGATCCATGTCGGTCTATCACCACATTGAGCTGTGACACGGGAAGCTCGCCACGATTAGCAGTCTTTTGGGAGTTCGATGAACATCTACAGGGCCGCAGGCGACGAATAAAGAGCGTGTCCCATCCCCAAACAAACCGGTAAGATCGACATTTCCAGTGTTGAAACATGCATCAATCCTTGTTCAGTTTATTATCCACGTGTCCCGTTTAACCATTGTCGTTATTCAACGAACCTTCTAGTCGTGTATCGAACCCATCTACTCGCGCAACGAACCCCTCCTATTGTGTATTGAACCTGTCCCGTTGTTCATCGAACCCTAGTTGCCATGCGGCAACACGTTCCAGTTGCAGGGAGGACAGATCCGCCCAGAGATACGATGACGCTCTCTCTGCCCTCCTCTGAATGTTAGCATTGAAACCTCCCAGTTGTGGGGAGGATACATCCGCCTCAGAGCTATGAAGACGTCATCTCTGAAGTGGATCTATCCTCCTCACAATGTTAGCATTGAAACCTTCCAGTTGCGGGGAGGACACATCCGCTGGAGAGCTACGAAGACGTTATCTCAGAACCTCATCTTTTCTGCACGCATTCTCTGGAGCGGATCTATCCTCCTCACAATATGTGCAATGAAACCTTGCAGTTGTGGGGAGGATAGATCCGCTCCAGAGCTACGAAAACGTCATCTCTGAACCGGATCTTTTCTGCACGCATTCTGTGGAGCGGATCTATCCTCCTCACAATGTCCGCCTTGAAGCCTTCCAGTTGTGGGGAGGATAGATCCGCTCCAGAGCTACGAANTGCACGCATTCTGTGGAGCGGATCTATCCTCCTCACAATGTCCGCCTTGAAGCCTTCCAGTTGTGGGGAGGATAGATCCGCTCCAGAGCTACGAAGATGTCGTGTCTAAAGCGGATCTATCCTGCGCACAGTCTGTAGAGCAGATCTATCCTCCTCACAGTGTCTTCATTGAAACCTTCCAGTTGTGGGAAGGATACATCCGCCCCAGAGCTACGAAGACGTTATCTATGAAGCGGATCCAACTTGCATACATTCTGTGGAGCGGATCTATCCTCCTCACAATGTCTGCAATGAAACCATCCAGTTATGCGGAATGAAGCGGATCTGGTCCTCCACATGTTTTGTGCAGCGGATCTATCCTCCTTAGAATATATGTGTTAAACCTTCCAGTTGTGGGGAGGATAGATCCGCTCCAGAGCTACGAAGACTTCGTCTTTGGACCGGATCTTTTCTGCACGCATTCTGTGGAGCGGATCTATCCTCCTCATAATGTGTCTTCATTGAAACCTTTCAGTTGTGGGGAGGATACATCCGCCCCAGAGCTACGAAGACGTTATCTATGAAGCGGATCCAGCTTGCATACATTATGTGGAGCGGATCTACTTTCCTCACAATGTCTGCAATGAAACCCTCTGGTTATGCGGAATGAAGCGAATCTGGTCCTCCACATGTTCTGTGCAGCGGATCTATCCTCCTCAGAATATCTGTGTTAAACCTTCCAGTTGTGCGGAGGATAGATCCGCTCCAGAGCTATGAAGACGTCGTGTTAAACCTTCCAGTTGTGGGGAGGATAGATCCACTCCAGAGCCACGAAGAAGTCGTCTCTGGACCGGATCTTTTTTGCACACATTCTGTGGAGCGGATCTATCCTTCTCAAAATGTGTCTTCACTGCAACCTTCCAGTTGTGGGGAGGACACATCCGCCCCAGAGCTACGAAGACGTTATCTATGAAGCGGATCCAGCTTGCATACATTCTGTGGAGCGGATCTATCCTCCTCACAACGTCTATAATGAAACCCTCCAGTTATGCGGAATGAAGCGAATCTGGTCCTCCACATGTTTTGTGGAGCGGATCTATCCTCCTCAGAACATTTGTGCTAGACCTTCAAGTTGTGGGGAGGATAGATCCGCTCCAGAGCTACGAAGACGTTGTCTCTGAACCAAATCTTTTCTGCACGCATTCTGTGGAGCGGATCTATCCTCCTCAGAATGTCTCCAGTTGTGGGGAGGATAAATCTGCCCCAGAGCTACGTAGATGTCGTGTCTAAAGCGGATCTATCCTGAGCACATTCTGTGGAGCGGATCTATCCTCCTCACAGTGACTGCATTGAAACCTTCCAGTTGTGGGGATGATACATCCGCCCCAGAGCTACGAAGACGCCATCTCTGAAGCGGATCTAGCTTGCACGCATTCTGTGAAGCGGATCTATCCTCCTCACAATGTCTGCAATAAAACCCTCCAGTTATCCGGAAGACAGATCCGCCACAGAGTTTCAAAGAGATCATCACTGAACCGGATCACTGCACGCATTCTGTGGAGCGGATCTGTCCTCCTCAGAATATCTGCATTTAGACCTTCCAGTTGTGGGGAGGATAGATCCGCTCCAGAGTTACGAAGACGTCGTCTCTGAACATGATATTTTCTGCACGCATTCTGTGGAGCGGATCTATCCTCCTCACAATGTCTGCATTGAAGCCTTCCAGTTGTGGGGAGGATAGATCCGCCCAGAGCTAGGTAGATGTCGTGTCTAAAGCGGATCTATCCTCCTCACAGTGTCTGCATTGAAAACTTTTAGTTGTGGGGAGGATACATCCCCCCCAGAGCTACGAAGACGTGATCTCCGAAGCGGATCTATAGCTTGCACCCGTTTCATGGAGTGGATCTATCCTCCTCACAATGCCTGCAATGAAACCCTCCAGTTATGCGAAAAATAGATCCACCACAGAGTTTCGAAGAGGTCATCACTGAAGCGAATCTAGTCCTCCACATGTTTTGTGGAGCGGATCTATCCTCCTCAGAACATCTGCAGTTAAACCTTCCAGTTGTGGGGAGGATAGATCCGTTGCAGAGCTACGAAGACGTTGTCTCTGAACCGTATCTTTTCTGCACGCATTCTGTGGAGCGGATCTNGAACCGTATCTTTTCTGCACGCATTCTGTGGAGCGGATCTATCCTCCTCACAATGCCTGCATTGAAGCCTTCCAGTTGTGGGGAGGATAGATCCGCCCCAGAGCCAGGTAGATGTCGTGTCTAAAGCGGATCTATTCTGCGCACATTCTGTGGAGCGGATCTATCCTCCTCACAGTGTCTGCATTGAAACCTTCCAGTTGTGGGGAGGATACATCTGCATCAGAGCGACGAACGCGTGTCGTCCCTACAATGTGTGCATCGTACCCTTGCTCCCGTGATCGCCGAAAGGCGGCGCCGATGCGTACTACAAAGTGACGAAATTTGAATTAAGCTAGCGCTAATAAACACAACAAAATTTGATGATTTTAGAGGGCCTCTGGTCCTTACCTCAGCTACTGAACAGTAAGGGTAAGAGAAAACATTGTTAGGAGGATGTGTCCGCTCCACAAAACTGAAATGATACTTAGAGCATCGTCTAGAAAGCGCAAGCATCGTGGGGAGGATAAATCCTCCCCACAATACATGAGCCTCAGCTTCCGGGCCAATGGGTACAAGAAAGTGACGAACTTTGAGATAAGCTAGAGTCACTGAACACAACAAAATTGTCTCTGGTGTTTCCTTCAGCTACTGAATGGGTACAAGAAAGTGACGAACTTTGAGATAAGCTTGAGCCACTGAACACAACAAAATTACCTCTGGTGTTTCCTTCAGCTACTGGATGGGCACAAGAAAGTGACGAACTTTGAGATAAGCTAGAGCCACTAAACACAACAAAACAAGCTAGAGCCTACTGAACAGTAAGGGTAAGAGCAAGCATCGTGGGGAGGATCTATCTGCTCCACAAAATTGAAGTAACACCTAGATCACGGCTTGGAACTTCGGCTACGAAACAGTAAGGGTTATAGGAAGCATCATGGGGAGGATCTATCCGCTCCATAAAAATGCCTCTGGTGTTTCCTTCAGCTACTGAACAGTAAGGGTAAGAGGAAGCATCGTGGGGAGGATCTATCAGCTCCACAAAATTGAAGTAATACC